CTCCCAGCCTGTGGGGACCCCGATGCTCCAGGGGTGACCCCAGGGGTGCCCAGTTGATGAGGTTTGGTGTGACCTTGTCTCTTGTCAGGGGAGCAGGGCTGGGGGGCTCTGAGCCCCCTCGGGTGCCTCCTGTTTTGGGAAGGGTGGGACTGAGGGGTACCTGGCTTGGGTGGGGATCCATGGTGGTGTGTGGGGGGGTCGTGCTGCTCTGCTCTCGTGCCCCCGCGCTCTTCGTGGTGGTATTAAACCTGCTGTTGTGTTTTGTCTCTGTTCTGCCCTGTCCCTGCAGAGCTCAGAAGTAAGTCACCCCCTTTCTGCCCCCCCCCTCCCCGGCTGCTCCCCTTTGCATGAGCTCTGGCTGCCACGTTTGGGGCGGGGGGGGGACACCTCGGTGTGGCCCCCCTGTGTCTGTGTGGGCCGCGGGGATGGAGGGGCAGGGACTGTGCTCGCGGGGTCGGGGTGGGGCGAGGCTGCATGCTGAGGTGTGGGGGGGCTGCATGGGGGTCTAAAGGTGTTCATGGGGGTCTGAGGGGGCTCATGGGGGGAGTCACCGAGCCTGAACAACCCCCCCCCCGTGTCTCCCCAGGCTGAGGAGTGTGAAGATGGAGCAGCGGAAGCTCAACGACCAGGCCAACACTCTGGTGGACCTGGCCAAGGTGAGCGACGCCGACGGAGTGGGGGGTCTGGGAGGATTTGGGGGGACCCCATTGTGGGGGGATCCGGCACTGAGCCGGTGTGGTTCCCCCCCCAGACCCAGAACATCATGTACGACATGGTCTCGGAGCTGCAGGAGCGCCACGAGGACCTGGAGAAGCGACTGGGAGCCCTGGAGAGCAAACTGGAGGCACTGGGGCTGAGCCTGCTGGCCCTGCCCGGGCTGGTGAGCCAGGCCCTGGGCCAGCAGCAGAGGGAGCTCCTGGGAGCTTGGCCCCCCCGGCTCTGCTCGGCCACGGCCCCCTGCACCCCCACCCGCGCCCCCCGCGCCCCTGCCGGTGCCCCCCCCCGCCTCTGACAGCGGGTGAGGGGGTGGGGGGTGCTGGGGGGGCACCCCCGGGTGCCCTTTTACAACCTCCTCCACCCCCTTGGACAGCGGGTGATGGGGAGGGGGCTGTGGGGGGCACCCCCGGCTCCTCCTCTGTCACCCCCTCCCTCTTCGGACAGCGGGTGATGGGGGGGGGGCACCCCCAGGTCCCCTTGCATCCCCACCCCCACCATGGACAGCGGGTGATGGGGTGGGGGGGTTATGGGGGCACCCGCAGGTCCCCCTTTGTCACCCCCCCGCCTCCTCAGACAGTGGTTGGTAGGGAGGGGGG